TTTTAAAATTGAATTTGATAATACATGCTGCTTGATATGTGATAAAAACAGTAAAGAAATCAGATTCATAGGAAAAAGAATTGACAATATATACATGCTTGACTTAGGACACTCAATAGCAATTTCAAGTACTAAATGTCTAATAACTCAAGAAGAAAACATATGGCTTTGGCATATGAGAGCTGCACATACTCATATGGATCATTTGAATAAGCTGAGTAAGAAAGAATTAGTGATTGGTCTACCTAAACTCAAGTTTGGTAAGGACAAACTATGTGATACTTGTCAAAAGGGCAAGCAAGTGAAGGCTAGCTTTAAAAGCAAAAATCAGATTTCCACAACTAGACCTTTGCAATTAATTCACATGGATTTGTTTGGTCCTTCAAGAACCATGAGCTTAGGCGGAAACTACTATGGCTTAGTGATTGTTGATGACTACTCAAGATACACATGGGTTATGTTTCTTGCAAACAAAAATGATGCTTTTAATGCCTTTAGAAAATTTGCCAAGCTTGTTCAAAATGAGAAGTGTTCAAACATTACCTCTATAAGAAGTGACCATGGAGGTGAGTTTCAAAACATAATGTTTCAAAAATTCTGTGAGGAACATGGTATAAACCATAATTTCTCAGCACCTAGGACACCTCAACAAAATGGGGTTGTTGAGAGGAAAAATAGGTCCTTAGAAGAACTTGCTAGGACAATGTTAAATGAAACAAATATGCCAAAATAATTTTGGGTTGATGCTATTAACACAGCTTGCCATGTGTTAAACAAAGTTTTGATTCGGCCTATATTAAAGAAAACACCCTATGAAATATATAATGGAAGGAAGCCTAACATTTCATATTTTAGAGTGTTTGGGTGTAAGTGCTGTGTGCTGAATAATGGGAAAGAGCAACTTGGAAAGTTTGATGATGAGGCAATTTTTCTAGGATACTCTACAAATAGTAAAGCTTATAGAATCTATAATAAGAGAACTCTAGTTGTAGAAGAATCTGTCCATGTGGTATTTGAAGAGTCTAATAAACAAGAGACAAGGCAAACTGAAATTGAAGATTTAAATGAGTTGCTTGATCAATCCCTATTGGAGAATGAACCAAATGAAGTGCCTAAGGAGAGTGAATCACATCTTATAGAGGTAATGTTTGAACACTTCTCATTTTGAACAAGCTTGGCAAATTTTCTAAAGGCATTAAAAGCATCATTTTTGTTTGCAAGAAACATAACCCATGTGTATCTTGAGTAGTCATCAACAATCACTAAGCCATAGTAGTTTCCGCCTAAGCTCATGGTTCTTGAAGGACCAAACAAATCCATGTGAATTAATTGCAAAGGTCTAGTTGTGGAAATCTGATTTTTGCTTTTAAAGCTAGCCTTCACTTGCTTGCCCTTTTGACAAGTATCACATAGTTTGTCCTTACCAAACTTGAGTTTAGGTAGACCAATCACTAATTCTTTCTTACTCAGCTTATTCAAATGATCCATATGAGTATGTGCAGCTCTCATATGCCAAAGCCATATGTTTTCTTCTTGAGTTATTAGACATTTAGTACTTGAAATTGCTATTGAGTGTCCTAAGTCAAGCATGTATATATTGTCAATTCTTTTTCCTATGAATCTGATTTCTTTACTGTTTTTATCACATATCAAGCAGCATGTATTATCAAATTCAATTTTAAAACCTTTATCACTTAGTTGACTTATACTCAGTAAATTATGTTTCAAACCATCAACAAGCAATACATTTTCAATCAATGTTTGAGAGGAGGAATTACCAACATTGCCATGGCCAAGAATTTTCCCTTTGTTGTTGTCACCATAGGTAACATACCCTTCATTCTTCAATTTCAGACTTGAGAATTTTGAAGGATCCCCAGTCATATGCCTTGAGCAGCCACTATCAAGATACCAAAGTAGATTTTTGGCCCTCA